GAGATCCCACCTACTTTGTTCTTTTTCAGGATTGCTGCAGCTATTCGGGGTCTTTTTTTATTCCAGATGAATTTTTGGAGAGTTCGTTCTAGATCTATGAAATATGCCGTTGGTATTTTAATGGGAAGTGTGTTGAATTTATAGATTGCTTTGGGTAGTATGGACATTTTAAATGATGTTGATTCTAGACATGGTTCTTTTTAATCTCTTTTTTCAGACAGGTAAATCGTTAACCAAAGTGAATCTCTTAACATATGCAAGTGGTTTAAAAGAACAAGCCAACAAGTTGGTGAGTCCTGAAGGCCCAGTTAAATTCTGAAATCCCTGTCAATATCCAATGCCAACACGGTGGTTAGGGGAGCTACTAAAGGGGTTCCTCACATTACAAGGAACCCCTTCTTTTTTTAAAAAAAATATATTTTAATTTATTTCAGAGAGGAAGGGAGAGGGAGGAAAGAGGGAAACATCAACAATGAGAGAGAATCATTGATCAGCTGCCTCCTGCATGTCCCACACTAGGGATCAAGCCCAAAATCTGGGCATGAGCCCTGACCGGGAATCAAACTGTGACTTCCTGGTTTATAGGTCAACTCTCAACCACTGAGCAACACTAGCCCAGCAGATAATCCCTTCTTGACAAGCACTTCTTCAGGTTTCCATCAGCAGCCACAGCCGCGTGGCCCAAAAGTCTGTGAGCGTGGGAAGGCTCCCATGGTGGCCTCGGGGTGCACACAGCTCTTCCCGAAGCCTGTGCTTGGTGCTGATGCCCATAATGGATTTATCACTGGCTCTCTTTCTCCACAGCAACCCCTCCTCTGCCAAACCCATTTGCATACGTGTTCCATGCCGCGCAGGGGATGGTAACTAAGGACACGGAGGAGATTCCGTGTGGCCCTCCATATCACTAATAAGACATGGCTGAGGGGTCCAGCTGGCGTGGTTCAGTGGTTGAGTGTCGACCTATGAACCAGAAGGTCACGGTTCAATTCCCAGTCAGGGCACATGCCCGTGTTGCAGGCTCAATCCCCAGTGTGGAGTGTGCAGGAGGCAGCCAATCAATGATTCTCTCTCATCGTTGATGTTTCTATCTTTTTCTCCCTCTCCCTTCTTCCCTGAAGTCAATAAAAATACATGAAAAAAAAAGAAGAGGTGTCCCCATCCAAGCCTCCTTCATCAGCATCCCTTTCATTGGCTGCTCTGCTGGCTGGAGACAAAATGGTCCCTTACAAGAAGCAGCGGAGCATGGACCGGCAGCAGGGGGTTGGGGGGAGCACCTGGGGTCTGGAGGAAGACCCGGATGAAATCCTGACTCAGCCACTTCCTAACTGTGGGACCCTGGGCAAGACATTTCCCCATCTGTGCCCTAATTTCCTCACCCGTAAGACGGGGGGCAGGAGGACCTTTACCCCTTCATACAGTAAACCCTACTGCGGTGTGAGTTCAAGAACACGGGCTCAGTCAAGCCTTGGTTTTCTCACTGCAAAACAGGGACATGGGTACTATAAAGTGACTTATAGCTCTGTTATGGGAGGTGGGAGAGTGGGAACACAGCCCAGGGCACTCAGGATGGCTAATGAATGTGGCTTAAAACTTATAGCTCGTGGGGCCCCCCCTGGCAGCTCCCAGTCCCACAGATACCATGGCACAAGGTCTGGGCATTCAAGTGCTCTGCCATCTGGAAAAATGGGGTTGATCTGTGTTTATTTCTTCTCTCTGTAGCCCCCTGGAGTCTTAAAAGAGTCCCTGACAAGGAACGTAATCAAGATCGAAGACATTCACAATATCAAGTTCCTGCCTTTGGACCTGCAACTGGTAACAGTCAGCCTCTGGCATCTCCCTGCAAACTGAGCACGGCCCATTTCACTGGCGGGCTTTCCTGTGGCCCAAGGACGCGTGTGCATGTCACAAGGGTCAAATTCGATTGGCCTCAGGCTGAGAAGCTGAGCTATTTGGAGAAGCATATTAGCTCACTGACCTCAGCTTCAGAAGCTACTAGAACTAGTCCCTCTCTTTTTCTTCTTTTTAATTCATAGTGTATCCCAAAAATCCTCTTACTGAATTTTCTTAATGTTTGTGCTGTGCTCATCACAATTTTCTGCCATACTTGTTTATGCCCAGCACAAATTTGTTCGTGTGTGTGTGTGTGCTAAACGCACAACCTAGGCATGTGCCCTGACCGGAATCAAACCACGACCTCCTTGTTCATAGGTCAATGCTTAACCACTGAGAAACACTGGCTGGGCCAAATTTGTTCACATTAAAAGCTGGGTTTTTCATGTCTCTTAAATGCCTTCCTTCAAGCAGACTCAGGGCTCCATGGTCTTCTCAGAGCTGGAGCAACCTGTCTGCAAATAGGCAAGTTATTCTGTACTCATGACCCACAGTGTAAACCAGAAGTTAACTAACTCTGGCCCTGAAAACCACAGCCTGTGGGCCAAACTGGCCTGTTGCCCTCTTTTACAAAAAGTTTTATTGGGACCCAGCCGTGCTCACTTATTCACAGATGATCTGTGGCTGCTCTTGGCTGCAAGAGCAGAGTAGAGTGGTTGGGACAGGGCATGGCCCGCAAAGCCTCAACTCTTTACTATCTGGTCCGAAACTGATAATGTTTGCCAGTCCCTGTTCTAAACCATACACGTGAAACCACTCGTGTTGGGCAGCTTTACTTTAAGTAACAGACTTGTGTGCTATGCGCTGCCCTTTGCAGCTCTAGAATATGCATCCTGGTTTTCCAGGTCCCCACACAGAGGTGTGTGCGGCACACGGTTACTGGAGACTGGTGTGGTTTTTGTTTGTTTTTTCAGAATGACACCCATTTCAGAGTAAAGTTGGATTTGGGTGAGGGGGGTGCACAAGGTGTGTGATCTTGCTGCTTCGTGTCATAAGCTGGAAACTGTTGCCTCTGTTTATTTGCTAGAAAGAACTACACCATCAAATGCAGGAGCTTCAACAAAGAGGCAGTGGATTGAAGGCAAGGATGTGTTTTCTTTTTCAGTCATGGGTCTTATTATAAAGCGCATACAGACTTTCAGAGACGTGGCTTTTTTTTTTTTTTTAGAGATGTTGCTTTTTCAGGTACTTTACATTTTTAAAAAGTCTCAATGATTCACTTATTTTAAATGCCAAACTGGGTTTTCCTACCATGATTTTTTGGTAAATACTTTTATCAGTACAAACCTCATTTTGGCACAAGGTTAGGCCCATGGGAAAGCTGCACTTGGATGTGTAGGATGCAGACTTAGAAGATGCACCAGTCACTTTCACCAAGATAATGCTGCCTAACAAACAGCCTTCAGGTCTCAGTGCCTTCTGACCACAGACTTTCACTGTTGGGTGGACCATAGGCTTCTCCATACATTGCCCTCCCTAGAGACCAGCCTGGAGGAGCAGTTTCTGTCTGGGTTGCCTCACGTCCTCTGAGTGCAGAACAGGAATTTAGAGGATGAATGGGAACACAGGTTGCCCTTTAAGCCACTTCTTAGAACCAGCACATGGCCACTTCCTCTACGTCCATTGGCCAAAGCATGCCCCTCGAACATGCCTGTCATCACCAGGCAGCCGTGACCAACTAATACAGTTCACCACAGGGGCTCTCTGAGTTGGAAACATTTCCACAATGGAAACTGAGCTCCCGGGCTGTGTTGCATTCAGCTGTAGCCACCATGTCACTGGGCAGCTCAGGAATATTTCTCATTTAATGCAATGGGCTGCCCTGAAGGTTTTGAAGGTTAGCCCCACCACAGAAAACGTCATGTCCTTCCCTGGGCTTTCCTCGGAGCTCCGCATGTTTACCTTCATCGTAGGGATTCTTGCCATATTTGACTGGGTCTCACCTGCCCACCCCACTGCTCCAGTAAACTGTGAGCTCCTTAGGTGGCCCTTGGTCTTCTCTCTGGGCAGCACTGAGCCTGCCTCTTTGTTGATGTACCAAGGTCTGACTTGGTTCCTCTGAAGCCTATTAGGTTTACTCTGCTCTGGACAGTCCCTGTACCTTCAGTCACGGTTACCATTTCATCAGTGTGTGTCCCATGCCAAGGGAATCTGAGACAGACTGGTGGCCTTGTATAGATCCTGTGCCACCCCAACACACTTCAGAATTAAGGGTGACAACAGGCAGCTATGCACTGACCTTCAAGAGGGGCAGGTGGGGGCAGAAAGCCACTCTTGACTCACTGTTTAGGCTATGTCACTGTTTAGGCTATGCCTGAGGTCTCTGGGCACCTCTAATTTACACCAAGCTGCCCTGTGAGTAGGCAGTGGCCTTGTTCTTATTTGTGTGACAGTGCAAAGCCTGTGGACTTTGGAGTGAAATTTCAAATTCCAGGTCTTAGGCTTCCCGGCTTGTTGACTGGGCAAAGTCAGCCTCCTCGCCTATGAAGGGGCATAACAATACCTTCCTTTCATTCTTGTGAGTATTCAGTGATGTGATTCAGATAAAGGACCTAGCCCAGTATCTGGCTCAAAGGAAATGCTTGCTGCATATCCGTGTCCTTCCCCCTGAACCTCGGAGCGTTGAGCTGGTTTTATGGTCCCCTTGCCTTACAAGCTGTGGTGGTGTGGGATTGAATTAACAGCACTCACATCAATACTCAACTGTCCGATGAAACCCTTTTCTCACTTGACACCATGTTGATTGTTGTTGTGTTTTCCAGGTGAAAGTGACCAATATTCTTGATGCTTTGGATTCTTCTCAGAAATTCATCACAAACGATCTTCCATCTATTATTATTGAAGTAAGACTTTTTTTAAAAATAGTTTTTCTTTCTTTTCCTTTTTTTGTTAATCCTCACCCAAGGGTATTTTTCCATTGATTTTTTTTAGAGAGAGTAGAAGGGATAGGGAGAGACACACAGAGAGAAACATTGATGTGAGAGAGACACATCGATTGGTTGCCTCCCGCAAACACACCAATCAGGACTGGGGATCAAGCCTGTAACCCAGGTACATGCCTTTGCCTGGCTGAGGACTGACAATCTCATCACTGAGCCAAACTGGCTGGGGCCAAAAAAGACATTAAAAAAAATCAGTATGCCAATAAGTAGATATGTGACCATAACTACCTGACTCAGTAGAGTATCATCCTAACAGTTTTCCTACTCTTTGATTTTTTTTCCAGGAAAGTAAGAAGTATGCAGATATAATCGTTTCATATTTTGAATATTATCTGAACTGGGCCAACGTCGCTGTAAGTAGCTTCTCTTTTATGACCATACGGAAGTCATGTGTTAGAACAGTCATTTTCTAGGTTAAAATCAGAAGGAAATAAAAATCAAATTCCTGCCCTAACCGGTTTGGCTCAGTGGATAGAGCGTCAGCCTGTGGACTCGAGGGTCCCAGGTTCGATTCCGGTCAAGGGCATGTACCTTGGTTGTGGGCACATCCCCAGTAGGGGGTGCGCGGGAGGCAGCTGATTGATGTTTCTCTCTCATCTATGTTCCTAACTCTCTATCCCTCTCCCTTCCTCTCTGTAAAAAATCAATAAAATATATTTTTAAAAAATCAAATTCCCAATAATTTGGTGGGAGATAAAGAAAAAGACCTTGAATGTGGGGACCACAACTGGAGGCTCCATGAGACACAGTACAAGTGCCATCCACACTGGGTGGCTCCTTGGGCCTCCCACTAGGTTGGAGAATATGCCCCTCCTTGTCTCCCCTGTCAGCTTCCTGGGCTCACCTTCCTCACAGTGGCAAGGATCACTGTGTCTCCCCGAGTGAACCATGAGCTCCCTAAGGTAGAGTCCATTTGGAGCTTGGTCTGTACACACTATGGGCAGCACTGAGCCTAGGACATTGTTGGGTAGTCAGCTAGGTGTGGTTTAAACAACAGAGATTTATCATATCACAGTTCTGGAGACCAGAACTCCAAGATCAAGGTGTTGGTAGGGTTAGTTCCTTCTGATGCCCCTCTTCTTGGATTATAGATAGCAGTCTTCTTTTTGTGTCTTTACTTGGTCTTTCCTCTGTGAGTGTCTGTCCAAATTTCCTCTTCTTTTGTAAGGGCACCCATCATGTTGGATTAAGGTCCACCCTAATGATCTCATTTCAACTGACTTGTCTCTTCAAAGACAGTATCTCCAAATATAGTTTTGAGGCACTGGGGTTAGGACTTCAACATGTGAACTTTTGGGGAGTGCAGTTCACTCCATAATCATTATATCTATATGAATATATCAGAAAAGTTGAAGAGCAAAGTTTCCAGGGGTTTTAAGGTAGCACATTGCTCCCAGCACCCAACTTTTGTGGAATATGGTGTCTTGAAAAATGCCTTTTGTCATCTTGAGCTCTGGGCTGGCTTACCTCGAGGATTATTCCATTGGGGGAAGGTGATGCTTGCAGCTGACTAACGTGGGTGGGTGCTGCCAGCCAAATGGGCTTGAAAAAATTTAGTAACTCAGGAAAATTTGGGCTACCCCTGAGAAGCCCTGGGCTTCTCAAATCCTATCCCTCGCCCTTCACCATATGAGCCAAAACTGCCCGGCTATCTTCTTCTTTTCTGCCCCACCCCACATTCCAGCCACACTCCACTGCTTGATTCCCTGAAACTTCCACATTTCTTTTTGTAGAATATATTTTTATTGATTTCAGAGAGGAAGGGAGAGGGAGAGATAGAAACATCAATGCTGAGGGAGAATCATTGATCAGCTGCCTTCTGTATGCACGCCCCCCCCCCCCCCCCCCGCCCCACTGGAGATTGAGCCTTGACTGGGCATTGAACCATGACATATCATTCATAGGTTGATTGATACTCAACAACTAAGCCATGCTGGCCAGGCAAATGTTCACATTTCTCCATGCGATTCCTTCTGCATATCATATCCCCCTTGCCAGTCCCTGCCTCTGGTACCCACTCTCCTGCAGTTGGTGGGCCATGCACCTGGTCCTCCTTTAAGAGCCAGCTTCTTGATGTGTGTGCTGACACCTCCTCCCATGCCCCAGGTGTGAGGGCCTCAGGATCTTCTCAGTGCCAGCATCCAAGTGAGTGCTGGTGGAGGAAATGCATTATCGTTATCACCACCATCGCCACTGCACATCTCCACTAGACCAAGGGACCACATTTGGGTCACATTCATACCTGGAATACAAAGCAAACACTCTGGAACCAAAGCAAGTCTAGACAGGAATGGCTGTGTTATACGCAAGCCACACTATGGGAATATTAAGTGGCCATTTGTACAAAATGATCAGAGCCACACCACGAGACTTGGAGAGAAAAGCAAGATGCAGAAAAACATACAGAATATGAGCCCTTACCCCACTTTCTGTAAAACTAACAAGCCTATACAGAGAGTGTGTAATGTTGTTTGAACTTGGAGACACATAAGGTTATTAATATGGGTTGCCTTGTAAGGTCTATAGGTGAGCCAACCAAAGATGGAAGAGAAATAAGACACTCTCTATTGTCTATATTCCAGTGTTTTTTAAGTGAATGAATGAATGTAGCTCTTTTAAGTCAATGGGATTGGAGCATCTGTCTGGGATTCACTGAACTTATTTACTTTCACCTCATTAATGAGTACATTGTTTTCTGTCTTCTAGAACAAGGTCAGCAGGTACTGCTGTTTTTGTAAATGAAACTTTATTGGCACTCAGCCACACCCATGTCTGGATATTGTCTGTGGTTGCCTTTGCCATGGCAGAGTCGGGCAATCTCACCTGCAAAGTCTAAACTATTTACTCTCTGGCCCTTTATAGGAAAAGTTTGCTGGCCCCGGTTCTAAAATGTGCACTTATTAGTTAACCAGCTTTCCATCTTCTTCCCACATCCTTTGTCAGATTCCAAAGGGGTCAGGTAAGAATTCAGACTGAGACACTTTGCTGGACAGGTGTACTTTTTTTTTTTTTAACAGGAGGAAAATCAGAGTTTAGTACATGTGCATGGGGAATTCACATAGACATGATACAACCATGAAAAGTCCAACATTGGGTATGCTGGGCATTTTGGACAAAGGAGAAAAGGGAGAGAATGGGGTATTAGATTTCAGAAGTGGCGATTCACAGGTAGTTGAGGAAGATCAGAACCTGTGTGGCAGGACAGTTCTTGCTGGCTGACTCAGAAACAACGGGCACAGGGGTTACTGAGCTGACAGGCACCTGCCTGAACCCTCCTGTTGACCATGCTTAATTAGGCAAAGGCAGCATCCTAAGACCTCCTTCCAGAAGCAGGCTTCTCAGTCTGGCTCTCTTGGGCGGGAGAGGGGGTGGGGAGGGTCAAAGGTTCTTTCTTAGTCTTTTGTTTCTTAATAAACAGCTTAAAATCAATATCCAAAAAAGCAGCTTCAGGATGGCAGACTTTTGATTCCTTCCATCACCACGCAAGTCCCCGAGCAAATGCCTAAGGGTGTGAGCCAGAGGCCCAGGTTAATCAAGGGCAGCTTACACACGTGAGCTGTTCGTTTTCTGCTGGTGGCTCACTGGTCCATGCGGGAAGGAAGGCCTGCAGTCCTATTCCCTTTTCTTTTTTTTTTTTTTTTTGTTTTTTTTTTGTTGTTGTTGTTTTAATGCTTAAAGTATTAAAAGAGTATTACATATGTCTCCTCCCCCACCCCCTTGACATTCTCCCGGCCTCCTCTACCCCCTAGTGTCTTATGTCCATTGGTTATGCTTATATGCATGCATACAAGTCCTTCGGTTGATCTGTTACCCACCCCTGCTGCTCCCCAACCCTCCCCGGCCTTCCCGCTGTAGTTTGACAGTCTGTTCGATGCTGCTCTGCCTCTGTATCTATTTTTGTTCATCAATTTATAATGGTCTCTATTATCCATGAATGAGTGAGATCATGTGGTATTTTTCCTTCATTGACTGGCTTATTTCACTTAGCATAATGCTCTCCAGTTCCATCCATGCTATTGCAAATGGTAAGAATTCCTTCTTTTTTACAGCAGCATAGTATTCCATTGTGTAGATGTACCACAGTTTTCTAATCCATTCATCTGTTGATGGGCACTTAGGCTGTTTCCAGATCTTAGCTATGGTGAATTGTGCTGCTATGAACATAGGGATGCATATATCCTTTCTGATTGGTGTTTCTGGTTTCTTGGGATGTATTCCTAGAAGTGGAATCACTGGGTCAAATGGGAGTTCCATTTTCAGTTTTTTGAGGAAACTCCATACTGTCTTCCATAGTGGCTGCACCAGTCTGCATTCCCACCAGCAGTGCACGAGTATTCCCTTTTCTCCACATCCTCTCCCAGGTGTACTTTTTTATTCTCTCAGGGGTCCAGTAGGGTGGGTCCTGATGTTCCAAATGACAAGTGAGGAAAATGGAAACTGGAAACTGAGGCTCAGAGAGACTCAGGACCTTGCTTTCAAACACATACTTTTATACGTCTTCGAACTCACCCATAGAAACCAGCTCTCAGCTCCGGCTCTCAGCTCCGAATCTTAGCGGACAGAGATCATTCTTGTGAAAACAGGCTGGAGGAACATGGCATGCCTGGTTCTCATTGCATTCATGGCTCTGGCTCAGAGTCTGCCTGTGTTTCTTTCCTCCTCAGGTCATGGAGGAAATCGCAGCCTGCAAACCTGTGGCCACTGCTTTCGATTCTGCTTTTGACGTCTTTCTATGCAACTACATTACCAAACCCATGGTGAGAATTTCATCTTTCAAAATAAGGACAGGCAACAACCTCATTATCTTTGATTCTCCTCCCCCCAGGATTGTGCTGCACACTGTAACATAAAATAGTTTTCTGTTCAGGTGTGTTACATTTAGATCTAAAATCTAAAACGGAAATGAATATGTTCTTGTACCTAATTCACTAGAAAAGTCAAAGACTTAGCTGTGATTCTTCGTTCCTTACTAGAACTGTGTTCACAGAAGGCAGGAGACCCTCGTGAAGAAAACTATTTGTCCAGAATAGTTGGAAAGGAATAGTTATTGGTGGCTTTGGGTGGTTGTCGTTTAACCCAAGCTGCCTTTGCTTCACGGTGGAATGGGGAGGACAGCTCTAGAGTTGCCTACAGGACTAGCCTAAGGCACAGCTGAATACTTGAACCTCTCCTGGGACCTGGCGGGTTGTAGACACATGTAAGATCCTGTCTGGGCACACACAGCATCATCTGATGGTGCGGCTGCTTCGGTTCTGATTGCTGAGCAAGTTTAAACAATGTTGGCTGTCAAAGTCAGGGGTGTGGCCGTGGCAGACTGAGGCTGACACCCTCCAGAAGGAAGAACCAGCGCTCAGCCCCAGCCGATGCTGCCATGTGGGAGGAAGGGCTCGGTGTTATAAGACATGACTTCAGACTTTTCAAGAAAATACATAAATCCAGATTTCTCTATGAAGTCTGACTTGGGGATATTGGCAACTATTTAAAAAAATACTTTAACATTGCTTTTTAGACAAAACAGGATTGAATCCAGCTTACCAGCTACCTTAAAGGTTGGCTCAATTAAACATGGGCCATTTGTTGCCCTGATGGAGTAGCTCAGTTGGTTACTAGTAGAGCATCGTCCTGATACACCAAGGTTGTGGGTTCAGTCCTTGGTCAGGGCACATGCAAGAACCAACCAATATGTAGGTGGATAGTCCTAGCCGGTTTGGCTCAGTGGACAGAGCATCGGCCTGCAAACCAAAGGAGATGTACCAGTCAAAGGCACGTACCTGGACCAGATTGGAGGGGGGGGGCAGGGTACAGGAGGCACCTAATTGATGTGTTTCTCTCATATCAATATTTCTCTCTGTCTTTCCATCTCTCTTCCACTCTCTCTAAAAATCAAAGGAAAAATACCTTTGGGTAAGGATTTTAAAAAAATGAAAAAAATGTAGGTGGATAGGTAGAACAACAAATCAATGTTTCTCTCCCCCCCCCCTTCCTCTTTCTCTCTACAGCCATAAAAGTTAAAAAAAAATAAACATGGACTGTTTGTTGAGAACCTAGTACACACTAAGCATTGCTATATCTTCTTCACACAGTAATGTCATAGGGTGAGGACACTGCTGTCCATAGTTCAGAGGCGAGACAAAGCCCAGAGAGTTTCTAGTCACCGTAACATCAGAACAACTCACCAAGAGGACTGGAGCCCCTGCCTGTGGCTGTCCATGCTGCATCCTTGGTAGCACAGGGGGCTGGCTCACAGCTATTTTGCATGTCCTAGAAGCCAACCTGGCTCCCTCACTTACCCTCTCTGTTACTTTTTCTTCAAGGTTTTTAAAAAGAGTTAATGAATTATGATAATTTGTAGCGTGTTACCCGGTGGTTGGCTCCTATCAAGTTCACCAGTGGTTTCAATGAATGACATTAGAACTCATTTCTAAAAACTGCAAAATAGAATTCTTTTCCCCAAGTAACTGCTGTTTCCAATTTCCATCTTCATGCATGTAATCCTCCCGGTTTTCTCCTTTTCCCTAGAATTTGTTTTGGTTTGGCATAGGAAAAGCTACCATACTGCTACTTCCGGCTATAATTATTGCTGTGAAGCTAGCCAAGTACTATCGGAGGATGGACTCGGAGGATGTCTACGAAGAGTAAGTAGGAGCAGGTGACTTGCAGAGGCTGGGGGTCACTTCCTCTGCTGCTGCCCACACAGGGATTGCTAAAGAGGAGCTCTGATGAGATGAAACTTGTTTCTTTTTCTTTTCTTTTCTTTTTTTTTTTTTAATTACTGGGTCATTTCTGTTCAGATAATTTCTTTGTACCAACTTTCTCGGGCTTGATTTAACTATTTTTTCCCTGCTTGCTTACTCTCCTCAGCTTCCTTAACCAGCCTTCTTATTTCTTGTTTGCAGTTCTGTCTCGGGGACTTGGCACTTGACTCTGTAGCTGTTTTCACTAGTTTGCATTTCGACCCTGTGGTCTGCCCTTCACTCTGAGTTCTGCGACCTTGTACACTTCATTTTCACATCACTCATCTCCTTCTCAACCTGTATTTCTCCTGAACTGGTTCTGTCAACATCAAATTAGACTAAAAACGTGGGGCGGGGGGTACAGCTGTTGAGCTATGATAGTAATTTAAAAGAAATAATTGTATTTTTTGTGTGTTTTATAGTGATGAAAATATAGCCATGAAAAAGTAAGCCTTTTCTTTTTTTAACCATGTTCTTAGGATGGGACTGGGGGGGGGGGGTCTTTATTATTATGCAATGGACTTTTTAAGCTAAATTAATAATGTCTTAAAATTACATAACAACAATAGATATGTCCAGATAAAAATAAATGCTGATGGCTCTTAAAAATGAGGACTGGCATATGGATGCTGAAGAAATACTTGCTGAATTAATGAAAATTGTATGTTAAATGCAAATATATAAAACGGTTGCTTTAATATTTGGTTCTTAAAGGGAGCACATTTGCCTTTGTAGAGTTAACAAGTGGTCACATGACTGTTTATATGTTGTCTCTGTAATCCATGATGTCACTACTTCGTCTTAGAGATAATGCGGTGTTTGGGGGATGTTTGTTTGTGTTGCAGAATGTACAGTACAGCCTCTAACCCTCTATGAGCAAAGCTGGTGAACAGATCCAACTGCACGGTTCTTGGTCTGCAGCGTCTCCAAGTATTGGAAGAGAAACTGCCCTTTAAGAGTTTACAGATTTGGTGGTAGCATCCAAAACATGCCCTCATGGGCCCAGGGCGCAAAGTCTGCCCCTGCTTTCCACCTTTCGAAGTGGGGCTTTCGCCATCTGAGTCTTCCCTAAGAGTTTAAATGTGTAACACATTCATTCATTTTCAGTTTAGCCTTTGGAACCAGACATGAATTTTGTCACATTTCATTGCACAGAAAGTTAGACTTGTAGTTGGAAGAAGTTCAGATATGAGTGTGAACAATAAAAGAATGGTTTCCAAAATATGACTCCAATCTTCTTATTGAAAAAAAAAAAACCTTCTTATTTCAATATCTTCTTCTTGAAAAAAATAGTTACCATTTAAGGCACTGTATTATTTTTTTAGGGTGGCTCTAACAAAGTGTATAAACTGAGTGGCTTAAAGCAACAGGAATGCATTCTCTCTTGGTTATGGAGATCTGAAGTCTGAAATCAACATGTGATCAGAGTTGGTTTCCCCTAGAGGGCCCGAGGGAATCCATGCCAGTCTCTGAGAGTCTGATGATTGCAGGCAGTCCATGGCATTCCTTGGCTTGTGGACTTAGCACTCTGATTTCTGCCTCTCCCTTCACATTTGTTTCTTATGAAGGCCCTTTGCCTTTCACCTGCGCCCTCATATAATCCTCACCACATCTCTATGAGGTCAGCAGTTGTATTCCTATTGATAAACTAAGTGCCTGAAGCTGACAGAGGCGAGTGATCCAACATCACACAGCCCTTAAGTGTTCGGGTAGGAAGAGGATCCAAATCCCTCATCCCCCGGCTCCTAGTTCCTAGTACATGGACAGCAGAGGCTAGGGTGGGTTTGGCACGGACCATTTCCTAACGTTTCAATCTAAAACCCCACGATAGGTATCCAGTGTTTTCTGATGATGAAATGCAATGTGAATCAGCAATGTTCAAAGCGTGGCCTGAGGGCACAAAGCAACAGGATCATGTGGGGAGCTCTAGAAATACTAATTCTCAGATTACAACCCAGACACACTGGGGGTGAGGCCCAGGAGTGTGTATTTCTTAAAATATATTTTTATTGATTTCAGAGAGGAAGAGAGAGGGAGAAAGAGAAACATCAATGATGAGAATCATTGATTGGCTGCCTCCTGCAACCCCCACACTGGTTATCGAGCCATAACCTGGGCATGTGCCCTGACCGGGAATAGAACCATGACCTCCTGGTTCATGGTCAACGCTCAACCACTGAGCCATGCTGGTTGGGCAGGAATGTGTATTTTAATAAGCTTTTCAGATGAGTCCAAAACACATTATACTTGGCCAAGCTATGTTGCAAATCACCACAAAGGACAGGTCTTGGTCTATAGCCCAGGAAATGCGACTATGCCCCATCACAAACAATGGACTGCTGCAAAGCAGCCTGTGTCTATTTAACCTCTGCAGGACGGAAGGCAGAAGGCAGAGCCAGTCCTGAGAGTATGTCCAGGGCTAACCACCAGCCCCAAAGCTGACCATCAGTTTGAAACGTCCGTCTCCACTCCTCTCCTCCCATGTAGGGGCTCCTACAGGCCCTCCTGCCTTTCCCGAACTGCTGCCAGCACCCCCCTAGGTCCGATCAGTGATTTTCACCACATACCTATTCTAAATGAGCATTTATTTCATTGCTGTCTCCCAGCTAGATCGCTAACACTTGTGCACAAAGCTCCTGTCTTGATTGCCTTTGGCTCCCCACCATGTGTTAGAGGAAAAATGGACCTCAGTTCAATATGGCTCTCCCTTGAGAAGCAACGTGAGCTCCCTTAGCCTCATCACCTCTTGTAAATGGGGCGAGGATTGCCCTCACCTCATTAGATGGGTGTGATGATCAGCATGATGCCTGGCACTGTTAGACTCAAAGTGGAGCCCATGTCACTCACCCATGGTGGGCTTCCAATAAATAGCAGATCAAGTTTCCTTGTGAGGCAGTGAACTCCTTGTCAGTAGGGCTTCAAGCAAAGGCTTGTCAGCCTCATGTGTGATGTCCAGAAGGGGAGTCTCCATTTGGTTCCAAAAGAAAAGGAAAGGGACTAGGTAGAGTAGGAGCATCTCTGTCTGCCACTTGGACAGGAACGGCACTGACAGAATCTGTCTGAGGTAACTATTTTTGGAACTCTGGTGTCTAGTAAAGGCTTGCAAATTCCAGGGGAAGGCTTGCATGGTAAATGATTAACTTTGCTCAATTTCAACCCTTAGCTCTGCAGCTCCTACCCATCCCTGACCCTAGTCCATGTGTTCCCAGAGTAGCTTGCACACAGACTTTGAGTGCCAGGATGGGTGGTGAGGACCCTGTCGCTCACCTATGAGAGATGTGTGTTCAAATCACTGATTGCTGCTTCCCATCACAGAGGTGCACACACTGAAGTGGGCAGCCGCTGTCGCAGCCCCTCCGAGAATCAGCTGCTATAATGCTCACACATCTGGCTATGTAGATAGTCCACAACACTGCCCAAACGGTCTATCCAGCGATCAGACCAGCAACACGATCTATCCCAGTCACACTTCCAAAGTCCTCTCTACCTCTTGCTGATGTCATCAGCTGAGAATGAGAGGAAACATGAAATGACTGTTGAATGGCATGTTCATTAGCCCTTTGCCAGGAATGGTGTGATGTCATATGGCTGTAATTGATCCTGACAGCCAGAAATATGGCAGAGCTCAGTCTCAAGTGCTACTTTGGTGTGGCCAAAATCTGTCACACCTGCTACCCAGGCAAATTTGTTACAAACTGTGGTCAGTTTATACACAGGGCTCAATAACACCTAGATGAGGCACATATTATCTCCTGTCCCCAAATAGTCCAGCTCAGTCAGGGCTTCCCTTTGGTCATGTGACTTTTCCTTTACTGTCTCAGGAATCAATATTTGAGCCTCAGTCCTTAGTACCCCCAAGAATTGACTTGGGTGGCTGACCCCAGATCTGCTCAGGACTCAACACCCCTGTTTTTATATGAGTCAAAATCTGCTCCTAAGCTGCTGTCCCCTGCTCTCCCTTGGAGCCTATTAGCAGATATCATCAGTGTAGTCACCACCTGGAAAGAAGGCTCGTGCCACTACTTTTGCCATCCACTGGTGGCAAATGGGAGAATTCAGGACAGTGTTTGCAGGTCCAGGTGATCTTCCAGGCAAACTGATCTTTGATATTTTGTGCCAAAGAGATTGAGAAAAAAGTATTAGCCATGCCCAAAATAGAAAACTACCAAAATGTGTAAACAATTTAGCTACAGTCACAAAGTCTAGCAAGATTGGGATTATAGAGGCAACAACTGAATTTTGTTGGTGATATTCCACTGTGGAAACAACCATTTGGCTTTAGGTGCAGCAGAAATAACTTTCCAACCCTAGCCGGTTTGGCTCAGTGTATAGAGGAGCATCAGCCTGTGGACTCAAGGATCCCAGGTTCGATTCTGGTCAAGGGCATATGCCCAGGTTGCAGGCTTGGTCCCCAGTGGAGGGTGTGCAGGAGGCAGCCAATCAATGATCATCTTTCCTCATTGATGTTTTTTTATCTCTCTCTTCCTTATATATATATATATGAAATAACTTTCCAGTGTGTTCAACCCCTAAGTTGGGGCTTTATTGTTATAGCAACTGGAATCACCCAGCTAATACATTCCACTACTTTAGAGGCTATAGGACCTAGTCAATGACACATACCCTGTCTGAGCTCATGTAGGCACTCAGTCAATATTTGTCAAATTAATTGAATTTATACTTTTAAACTGATTGCATTGAACTATACCATCATCCCTAATACATATCCTCCTCTCACATTCAATGACCTAAAGATTATTTGAATGTTGGGCCAATTTGGGCACTGGGCCAATTACTGACCTTTTCAGCAACCATCCCACTCCCTGCAGGAAGGATTTAAGAAATGCCTGAGAGATGCACCTCGCTCAATTAGATGACCCCACCTTGAGCACCGTAGCCTTTCCTCCCACATAGTCATTACCTGTATATTGTCATGGTTGACATCCTTGTCTTTCCCCCTGTTGTCTGCCTTCTCTTTGAGGGCAAGGATGATGTCTCCTTGGCTGCATTCCAGTCCATTACAGAAAGACCCTGGGACATGCTCATTGCTTCATGAGTGCTCTTTAAATGAATAGAAGAATGAATGAATGACAGCAGAATGAAAGATTGTATGCAGAATAAATGAGTCTGGTTAGAGGCCACCCCAGTTCCTCTGGTACTCTTCTCCTGCCTCCCTCACTTCCCCTAAACAGCCCACAACATGTGCTAGTCTTTTCCTCTCTGGGCCTGGTGCCATTCTCCCTGGATTCCCTCCCAGGCCTTTGTAGAGCTTGTTTCTGGTGCCTTTCATGTACTCATCTTCACCTCTTCACATGACAGAAGTAGCAAGTCACAAGCTGACGTGAGTGGTGACTTGCAACATTGACAGAGAAAAAGAACCGCTTTTCCAACTTTCTAGGGTGGCAACCAGCACTCTTGATAAAGAACATAAGTTAGAGACTGAAAATTCCAAAAGGACACTCTTCAATGTTTTCTTCTGCCCCAAATATGGAGGTGGTGAGCATGCACATGTGTGATGTATGTAAGTGCATGTTTGTGTGTGTGTGTGTATAAAGGGGCATAGCCATCTGTGTGCTTCAGAATTTTATCCAAAAGGAGCAGATATCTTTAAATCATGTCTAACCTGTTTCACAATGATTTCCTTTTTAAAAAAGATATGAAAAACCTGGAGATGATCAATGAACTTACCTTGTATGATTCCAACCATATGGCATTCTAGAAGAGGCACAACTATGGAGACAGGAAAAAGATCAGTGATTACCAGGGGTTAGAAAGAGGGGACATGCACAGATGATTTTTAGGACAGTGAAAATACTCTCGATGACACTATGATGGTGAGTATATGTCATTGTACATTTGTGACTATCTACAGATTGAACAACACCAAGAGTGAACTCTTGGAAGAAGCATGGACTTTGTGTAATTGCGGTATGTCAGGAAGGCTCATCCCCTGCTACAACTGTACCACTCTGGTGGACAATGGAGACAGGGTGGAAAGCAGTGTCAATGAGCAACAGGGGATGGGGGTGGAGTGTATTTTCTTTACTTTCTGCTCAATTGTGCTGGAAACCAAAAACCATTCTTAAATATAAAATTTAGAAATGATTTTTAAAATAACATTAGATAAAAAGTAAGGAAGTCTAAACAAAATATGGACTCGAGTAATAATTATCAACAGAGAGGCTACCAACAGGGAATCCTGGGTGAGATGTGGGGCAGCGTAACTACTAGTATCTTGAAAATATTTTGTAAAACAAACTATATATATATATATATATATATAATGAATGAGAGGATGAGAAAGGAGAGAGAGGGAAGGAGACAGAAGATTTATCCAAGAATGATCCTTACTTTTTTAAAAATATATTTTATTGATTTTTTACAAAGAGGAAGAGAGAGGGATAGAGAGTTAGAAACATCAATGAGAGAGAAACATCGATCAGCTGCCTCCTGCACACTCCCTACTGGGGATGTGCCCGCAACCAAGGTACATGTCCTTGACCAGAATCGAACCTGGGACCCTTGAGTCCACAGGCTGATGCTCTATCCACTAAGCCAAACCGGTTAAGGCCTTAGTTTTTTTTTAATACAAACATTAGAAGGCCTTAATTTAATTCTTCTTGAATTGTGTGTCAGGCATGTTCTTGGGTGACCTAAGCCTCAGCTCCACATCTGTACCACAAGGATCCAGGCTGGACTTTCCTTCACAGATTCTTGTGAACAAATTGAGGCGCCTTTATGTAATCCATTGTCCATGAGCCAGTGATGCCCTGGATCCTGGGAGTATAGGGAGGTTGTAAGAACCTGCTGTGGACAGTCATTCTGGGGCTCCAAACCCTGTCCAGTTTCCCCAGTGCCCTGTAGTAAAAGTATAGAATTTTCTCAGTGTACGTAGATGTGAAATAGTATGGGGAAAACACATTAGCCCAATGCCAGTGCGTTGTAAGCACTTACTCAGGTGACCATCTATTTCTCTCCATGAACATCCATAAAAACGTGGAGGCATGGGCAAGATCAGGGACCAATGACACTGATAGAAAGAATGTTGTCTGTATATGAAGTCACTATTTGAGCTGGATCTTGAAGGATGAGCCAATGTGAGCCTAACAAAGTAAGACTGGAAGAGCATTCCAAGTATGGGGAACAGAGAAGCAAAGGCAGGATGTGGGCAAGTGAACTGAGTATTCAGAAAGTGGTAGATGAGTATCCTAATGTGGCCAGATTGTTGTTGTTTTTTGTTTGTTTGTTTGTTGTGTGTGTGTGTGTGTGTGTGTGTGTGTGTGTGTGTGTGTGTAAAGGAGTTTAGAATGACAGATTGAGTCAACAGGGAAAGGTCTACATGGCTTGGCCTAATACTGTACCCCCCTTGCTTGAAATAGAAAGATCAAGGCAGAAGTCGGGATGGGATCACAGGAAGGCTGAAGGTCCACAGGAAGCCAGAGGGGGAAGTCCCATGTTCCCTGTCAAAGCTTAGAGAAACATTCTCAGAAAAGATCCTGGAGTCCACATGTTTCCTTTAAATACACTTTGTGTTCTGACCTATAGTCTTCTTCCAGAAAAAAAAAAAAAAGCTGGCTGTGTCCTGAGGATCAAGATGAATTCCTCATTATTTCAGAGGCCACCTTGATCTATATCTCCCTGTGGAACAAAGCTGCTTTATCTTGTCTACGTCCAAATGACGTAGGAGTGGGAGTGGGCAACGCTGACTTCAGTGACATGCAGGTGGGGGTGTCTTTGGCCTGTGGCCAAAGTGTGGCGCCGTTTCGTAAAACACCACACTGTGAGTGACTATTTGGGGAGTATGTGTTCTATAAGATGGTGGTCGGAACCATGGGGTTGGATCTCTTCATGAGCTGATTTTATAAGAGGCTTAGAGCTTGGGGAAATGGCCACCTCTGATGGCATTTATGTAAAGACCCTTTGAACCTCTGAATAAACCAGTCAACATCCACAGCTTGAGTGGAATCCAACCACAATTAGGACTTTTGGTGTCTTTATTGTGGGCCAGGCCAGCACTTTTAGAAAATTTCAATTAGATGGCAGCTCAATTCCATATACTCACATCTGGATATTGGGGCATTTCTTAAAAGTTCAAGAACTCTCCATTTGTTTCAAAAAATGTATATACAAAAAATTATGACTTCTGAAAATACCAACCCCAGTGCCACATGTTCTCAGCCAACTGGAGCTGAGTGCTGACCTTACTACCAGGACCTACCCGGATTGCCACAGTCCCCCCTGCTCTTTAGTGTCTCAGCCCCAAAGGCAGATCGGTTACCATTTATTGCCATTTGTGTACTATTGTTCTTCTTTTGGCTGAGTTAAGAAGAAAGGTACAACTTCTTGTGCCCAGATATGAAAAGGGAGGTGGCAAAATATAATGAGGTCCACATCTTCTTTGGCAAGTGAGTCGCCTTCTCTATGTTTAACATCAAAATGAAATATGTCTGTTTTTAAGGAATACAGCTGGAGTCCCCATTATGAACCAAATCATCCTCATTTACATTATGCCCATAAATAATTTAGTAGGAAAACCTAAGGGAGGTACTGTGATTGTCCTCAATCTGTAGATGCACGCACAGAGGTTCAGAGAGGTTATGTGACAGCTGTGACAAGGGTTAGGTGAATGCTCTGTCATTCTGGTATGAGACTGCCTATCAAAGGTTGACCAGAATGAAGATCCCATGTGTGACCTGAAGGTGAATTTTTTCAGCAGAAGCCCCCAGATCAGGAACTCACTCCCTACCAGCCGTTCGGAGGCCCTGGATTCCTCTGCCCAATAGTCACTTCAGGTGCCTCAGTGAAAACAGAGACTCAGACACTGAGATGTGTTTCCCAGCTGATCCACTCATCAACCCAACCTTTACTGAGAATGGCAGGTAGGAAAATATCAGACAATGGATGCAGGGAGTCCCAGATTTAACTCTGGGCTCCTCATCCTTCTGGCTGTGTGACCTTGGACAAAACCTGAATAGCTCCATGCTTCAGTTTTCCATCTGTAAAATGGGGTGAATCACAGCTTCCCATATGATAGAATGGATGTGATGAGAACGAACGGAGAGATTTCGGTAAAATGGACCTAGCACAGTGCTTGGCAGCTATGATTATTTTTGTTGTTAATAACTTTCCCCAGAGATATTGCTGCATCAAAGAGTCCCTCAAAGAGGGTCTCTGCGAGGCTGAGCTGTCCTCCCAAACTGGCTGCTGGGGGAAGAGGAAGGGCCTGGAGGGCGCGGTCTAATGTCCTGTGTGTAACCCTCCGCCCACTTTACACCAACCACTTTCCCTGCAGGCGCTGGCTCCCTCCGAAGGGGCGTGGCTGGGAGGAGTGTGAAGAGAGCTGCACAGGTGTGTGCCCTGTGAACACCCTGTCTGCCTGGGCTCCTATAAAAAGGGCCTCCCCTGCCTTGCACTGCAGATGAGACTTGCTCTGACACCCGGGATTGCACTGCATCTGCATACTCAGAACAAGGTAAGAGCCTGGCCCTTTAAGAGTGTGCTTGCCTGCCCCACTTCCAGCTTTCCCCAAAACCTCAAGTTCCTGAGGTCTGGATCCTAGCAGGGGTCCCATGGCCATGAGGAATGAGTGGGTTTTATACCTAGCCTCACGCCCCACCTTCCTTTGGGACCCCACATGCCTATGACTGCCTTCCCCTTTCTCAATCCTAATAGCAGGTCAAAATGCCTAGGCTGGAAATGAGATCAGGGCCATTTCCTAGGCCAGCCTTTTTTTTTTTTTTAAATAAAATTCAGTATTTTCTTTTAAAACGAAGCACCAATAATATGAATCATCTTGCCATTGTGAATGAAGCCAAACCAAATCCTGAGCTGTTCATGATTGCTCTTTCATTTCTTGCCAATATTTTTGAAAGGCAGAGTAAGGTGAAGGTGAGAAGGGTGGTATAAAGGACCAGAGAGATAAGTTCTGGCTGCCTGTCCTGGCTTTGTCACTTGCCCTTCATGGGATCTTGAATAATTGATTTGCTGGTCTGAGACTTAACTACCCCATCTGTTACCTGGAGAGATTTATTATTACCTGCCAAGGAGCACTCTTGTGTGGATCAACAAAGTGAGACTCAGACGCTGGTCAAGTGCACAGAAATGCTATTTTTCTTCTCCTTTTCAGTGTAGTTTTGTTGCCCACCTGACATAATCCATGTAGGTTGGCGTAACGTTTAAGGTCATCCTATTCATTCAATGATTTGGGATTTTTTGTGTTTTTTTTTAAATAATTGATTAAGGGCATTCTGTATGCCCAGGATTGTGCTAAGCAGTCTAAATGCTGTGGTGGAAATTCACTCCTATCTACCCCGGTTCACTTTGCCCAGTCAAATTGAATGATCTCCCCTTCTTTATGCCTTTCCTTGGGTTCTTACTTCATCCCAATTGCCCCTCCTCACAAACCCACCCATCTCAGAGTGTACAAACCTCGTGCATGTTTAACCTTGGGTCAAACATCACTTTGCATGTCATTTCCCGTGTCCTTTCTCATAGTGTGGTCACCTGATTCCATGTAGAACTGTGATATAGAAATCCAGCACATCGGGAGCTGGAGGAGTGGGCAGTTATCTCATGCAACACCTTGATTTCCAGATAAAATGACTGAGACCCAGATGGGGAGAGTGACTTGCCCAAGATCAAGCTGGGGACACAATTGTGACAGACTCCTGGTCAATACTATTTAGAATCCCCAAAGAGTTGCCTCTAAGTTTTTAAGATGTGAAACTTTCCTATTTACCTTGGTATATTCAACATCTAGTCCAGTGTGTGGCATACAGTAGGTGCTCCATAAATGCCTGTTGAATGAGTGAATAAAAGCGTGAGTGAAAAATCAAATGAAGGCATAAATGAGTGAATGAATGGGGCTCAGAGAGTGGTGAAGGAAGGAATGAAGGGTAGGAAATTTTCACATTCAAGACTCCAGTCAAGCAGAAATATGAATAAACAGACTGCTTGTCTAGTAATTCCAGAAATCAGAAGGATTCTTGAACTTACTCCTAGGCAGGCAGGCATGTGCCAGGGTGGAGGGAGGGTCAGCTTACAGCCTGTAGTGCGAAAATGCTGCCCAGCATTGACTCACCCGCCTTTTGTCAAACAGGTTCCCACCAAACTAAAGACATGCGGATGCACAGCCTCACTTTGCTGTCCTTCCTCCTTCTGGCCGCTCAGGTGTTCTTGGGGGAGGGCAAAAAGGAAGTAAAGAAAAGAGGTGGCAGCAAAGCTACCACAGAAAAAACACAGACGCTGGGCAAGCCCTGGGATGAGCAGAGAAGCCAGCCACCCAAGCACCTAACCAAAGGCAAGTTTGTCACCCAAGACCAGGCCGACTGCAGATGGGTGGTGACTGAGCAGGAGGAGGGCATTGTCCTGAAGGTCGATTGCACCCGACAGGATAACAAGTTTTCCTGTTCCTTTACGGGCAATCCAACTTCATGCCTGGAGTCGACCAAAAAGGGTGCCTATTGGAAACAAATCGGCCGGAGCCTGCGCACTCAGAAAGTCATCTGTGGGGACTCAAAGAGCATCCTGAAGACCAGGGTGTGCAGAAAGAAGTTCCCAGAATCCAATCTGAAGTTGGTGAATTCTACTCTAATTGGGAAGAAACCCAGCCAGGAGACAATGGAGCCCTCTCCCAGGGAGCAGAGCATGACCAATGAGGCCTCCCTCATGGAGCCTAACAAGGTCAAAGAGAACACCCTCGCTGGCCCAGCAGAGTCCTCCATCAATCCCGAGTGCCTGGAGGACCCAGACATGATGAACCAGAAGAAGGCAGCCCTGGAATACTGTGGGGAGTCCTGGAGCTCTTTCTGCAAATTCTTCTTCACCATGGTGCAGAGTGAATCATGTTAAGGAGGTCAAAAGAGAACAGAGCTCCATTAGGTGCATGTCCAAGCCTTCAGGATGCTGTAAAGCTCTCCAATTTCCCTGTAAAACGAACATTTCTATGAGCGTGCAGGAATTAAACAGAATTTGTAATTTTTTTGTTTTTGGAATTTGCTTTATATTCATTTCCTTAGGTGTGATTTTCAGAGGTTGTTGACTGCAATGTTTCCATGGCCCACAAAGCTGTGTGCATCTGAGTGGTAATGACCACTCTTTGAGCTGAATGAGCCAGAGGGATGATTTCAGTGTGATGCACTTTTGTTTAATTAACAAAATTAATAAAGCTCTGTGCATTTTTCAAAAATTTTCAACCATTGTTTGTGTGTCTGCATCAACTTCAACTCGACATTTATCTCTCATTTTCTATGTCCAGGCACCATACTAACCTTTCCCCATGGAGTATACATGTATTTATTCACTTACTCACTCAATTAACACACAGTTTATTAAGCACAGACTATCAGACTCTTGTAGGAGCTCAGGATACAGCGATCTACAGGAGATGAATGCTCTGCCCCCATGGGGCTACCAATGGGGAAACTAATGGTAAGCTCACAAATACACCAGCATCAAAGAGGAAAAGTAAAGAAAGAGGAGGGGGCAGACGTAATGGAAGAGAACCTGTCTTAGATGAGATGGTTAGGGGAGGCCTATCTATGGAGGTGACTTTTGAGTCTAGATCTAAATTAAGTGAGGCATTAAATCAGGTGACTCTTTTGGGTAAGGATGTTCTAAATAGTGGGGACAGTGGGTACACGTGTTCTGACATTAATTAATAAGCTGTGGGCTCCTACTGTGTGCCAGGCATGGTTCTAGAGGAAGGAAATAATAGCAAACAAAAAAGAAAATTATCCTTCTTTTTATGGTGTTTATATTCCAATAGCTGGGTCATGCGTGACATGTTCAGAAATAACAAACATTTCAGACTCACTCTAGAACACAACTGACCTATAAACCTTATCCCCATACCCAAGAGTATGGACCCAACATCACAGGCCCTCCTCATGGTCCTCCTGGCCACACAACAGGAGCACTTCCCTTAAAGTCTACACAGATTGTCAGCCCTTTGCCCCCCTGCCCACTCATACATATTAATTCTACATAGTCTTGAAATAGGAAAACATTTCCAGGAGTCATTAAACAATAACACTGCTATGGTCTGGATGATGTAAACATTGGAAAACAGACCAGACTAGGCCAAAGGGAAAGCCCTCTTAAGGTCCCTTCTAGCCCATAAAGCTAATGGTTCTTCTAAGTCACTCATGGCTCTGGCCGATGGCAGAACTGGGAGGAGCCTTGTTTCTAACACAGTGGGGTCGGCAGGATCTGGGTTAGAGGTTTCTCTCTGCTGCTTCTCAACCAAGATCCCTGGGTCAATTATTTAAATCTTCTGAGCTCCAATGAGCTCATCTTAACAATGGGGATAATGAAACAGCTTTAATCCTTTTCGGTCCAACGTCGAGGCTTAGGTCGACACCGCAAACCGGTTCAACATTCAATTCCATGTATTAATTTGGACCAGACTGTTTGAATTCCAAAAATAAAATTGGACCGCAAGGGTTAAGGGTTGTTGTAAGACACATATTGGTCAATACATCTTGAGCACCTAGAGTTGCACCTAGTGTTCACATAGTAGGTTTTCAACACAAATGATGGTCTAAAGTCCAAAGTGTAAGACTGGTTTTGGAGGGAGGCCAAAAAATTATGTAAACTTTGAAAGTGTGAGGTTTTTTTTTTCTCTAATACAAAAAAGCAACAAGGAACAGCCATTATTGATCATCTATTATGTGCCGGAGGCTTTGCCCATTTTCTTATTCAATCTCCCAACAATTCTGTCTCATAGATATTATCATCCTCATTTTCTAGATAAGAAAACTGAAGCTCAGAGAAGCTGAGCAACTTGCCGGGGTCACAAAGCCTATAAGAGGCACAGCCTGTACCTGGGAAACCTAGGTCTCCAGGTCTCCAAGCCCATTCTGCCTTCACAGCTCACAATCTTCTTCCCTTGATGAGAGAAGAATGGCATGTGTGGTCTTCAGGCAGGAGCCAAGCCACTAAGTAAACAGGGTGCATCAGTCCCTTTTATGTTCTTTTTTAAAAATATATTTTTACTGATTTCAGAGAGGAGGTGAGAGGGAAGGAAAGATAGAAACATCAATGCTGAGAGAGAATCATTGATCGGCTGCCTTCTGCACACCCCCTACTCGGGATCGAACTCAAAACCCAGTTGATGAAGCTCCTTAGGGATTCTAGCCCATAGGTCAATGCTTGGTTATTTACCTTCATTATTAAGCAATGTGGCCAAAAATGAATCGACAGCTGGGACTGGCAGATGTGGAGAAGAGAGCAACATAAATTAAGGTAGGATCATCCCACTTTTGGAAAATTAGATTGTTGTTAAGTGTTTCTTAGTATAAATAATGCTGTTAAGAACCATCCTTAAAGATAAATCGTTTTTAACATTAGGATTTTTTTCTTTAGGGAAAATTCCCAGAAAGCAGACTGCAAGGCCCAAAACTGTGCTTCTGAAAGAAGCTTTTTATTATTTTAAAACTCAAACATTCATAAGTAAAGAGATGAATGTCGTAAATGTCTAAGTACCCTTCACTCAGTTTAAACAACTATCCACTCATGGCCAATCTCACTTCACCTAGAAAAGGTCCCAATTATCCTCTCCCCTGGATTGTTTTGAAACAAATCCCAGACACACATTATTTCATTCGTAAATATTTCAACTTGTACCTCCAAGAGAGAGGGCAAGAGCATGCACGTTTTCAAAGCTCTTGGCGCATATTGCCAAACTACCTGCCAAAAAAAAAAGTTACAACACTTATATTCCTGCCAACAGTATAAGAGTCTGGCCCTGTCTCCTCATTTTTATCAACCTCAGGTGTACCAGTTCAGGTGGTGGGGGTGGGGGTGGGAATTAAATACAAAAAGTTCAATAGTGGTGATTGCAGATAGGGAACCAGTTACAATGATATTAGAAAAGCTAAAAGGTAGACACCTTTCAAAAGAGGACATTCAGAAAGCCAAGAGACGTATGAAAACATGCTCAAAGTCACTAATCATCCGAGAGATGCAAATCAAAACAACAATGAGGTACCATCTCACACCTGTCAGACTGGCTATCACCAACAAATCAACAAACGACAAGTGCTGGAGAGGATGTGGAGAAAAAGGAACGCTTGTGCAGTGCTGGTGGGAATGCAGACTGGTGCAGCCACTATGGAAGATAGTATGGAATT